TGGTGTTCAGCACTCTGGACAGCTCTAGGAAAGAGACTCTGTTGGAGACTCAGTGAACAGCTCTGATCAATAATCAATACATCAACACTCATAATGATCCAGAGTTGAGACTCTCTGACTTTAACATTGATCCCCAACAAATCAACAGACGGTCCTTTAAGGGACTTTATAGGTGGAGTGATTAAACAATATTCAGACATGAAAATAAATTTTATATTAATGTTTCAGAAACAGAATGTTGGTTTTAGGTCATATATGCAGAGTTTTATTGTAAACTGTAAAATTAAAATGATTGTAGGTGTAATAACATTATTTAGTCACTAGAGGCAGAGACAGCAGTGAGTGTGCTGAAGCTCACAAAATCTCACTGAACACACAGAGTCTCATAGTTCAGTTATCTTATGGCTTGTTGAGAGATTTCTAACTTGCTCTTTTCTTTTTCTTCTATTTTTTATTCCTTATTAGCTTATAAATGTCAGGATAGTATCATAATCAGGGGCTTCTTGTTATTCCAATCCCCAGTATTTATAGACATAATTGACCAAAATAAAGAACAGTATCTGGTAAAGAATGTTAGATTACTGACAGAGCTAACTTAGAGACTGGAATTTAGCTAATTATCTGCTAATTAAACTAATATCTAATGACTATCTGCTAATAAAACAGTGTGATGGGTAAATCAATCTGTCTGTATGTCTAAAAAGCACTAACAGACCCTCTCAGCACAGATTTCTCTCTTTATCCTTCTCTTTCTACCTGCATTCGTCTGTGTGATGGAGCAGCACTGCAGTTAACAGTGAGACCTGCGGACGGACGCTTTGATGACCGTCCACACGGACTGGTTAGCTTTATTAGCATTATTAGCTAAAGCTAATCTCACTGCATCAGTTTCAGTGCAGTGACTATGAGAGAATATTGTGTTGTTAAAGTGATTTGACATGTTGTTACTTTATCATGTTCTGTTTCATTTCTATACAGATAAACTACATTAGCTGTTCAGTTGTTTATCTCCCTCCTTACTCTTTAGTCCACACTGTGAAGAACAACAACACTGACAAAAACACAAGTAAACAAACTGTGTACAATAATTATTTATTGTGTAAAAAAGACAAACAGCTCTAAGTGTATAAATGATGAATATTATTATAAAAACTCATTTTAATGATTAATAAGCTTATAAACATCAGAAACACTCTTTTAAGAAGTAAATAAACGTGAACAGGGATCAATAATAATACATTTTACACCATTTTCTATATTCAGGCTTGAGCTGTTTCCTCGACTAATCAACTAATTACTGTATTTTCGGGCGTCTAAGATTCTACTAATCACATCTGTTATTTATGTTTTCATGTATTTGTTTATTTTTAATGTAGAAATGTCTGTAGAAGGAACTTTGGATTGTGTATCTAGTGAATCTCTAAATTTAATCATTGTCATTGTTCTGTTTTACATTTCACATTAAATCAATCTGAATGAATTTGTTTACTTATTCAATTTAATTGAATTCACGATTTATTTATAACGGCCGCTATCATAAAGCAGCTTTACAGAAAATCTGTGTCTGAGTCCCAGATGAGCAAGAAAAACTCCCTCAGAGCAAGAGGAAGAAACCTTGAGAGGAACCAAGACTCAAAAGGGGAACCCATCCTACAAGCTTAGAGTTAGGTTAAGGTTTTGAGTTGATGTTACAGTTAGAGTTAGGATTAAGACCAGGTTTAGTTAGTGAATTAGTGTCAGTTAGGTTTAGAGTTAGTAATGTAAATTTAAAAGACAATTTAGTTGAATGTAAGTGCAAAGCAAGCATCTACAAAACATCTACAGTGGGCTATTTAAATAAAGTGTACAACTTAACTTAGCAGGTTCCAGTTTATTTGAAGAGCCCCCCAATAGATTATTACGATGTTCAAACTGTAAACAACCTGGTGACACAGCGTTGGGGTTTGGGTTAGCATTTAGTTGCTATTTAGTTGATGTTAAATGCTGGGTGAGCATCTACAGTGGACTATCCAAATAAAGTGTTACCACTTAATAATAATCACAACAATAATATTCATAATAACAATAATAAAAATTAAACAAAGTGCTGGTCTCTTCACTGTCGAGGCCTCTGAGGATGTTTGGGGATGGGCTCTCTACTGATGTCCACTTCAATGAGAGGAGTGAAGCTTCTCAGCGTTGGTGTGCTGAAGCCCTCAGTGACGCCGAGCTGTCCATCAGGCTGCTCTTCAGTTTATCAGTTTATCACATCAGTTTATGTATACATATCATTTTAAACATTTAAACATGTACTATTTAAATAAAATAATAATGCATTTTCTATTATTAATTAGTTATTCATGCATTAAAGCATGAATATGATCGTGATGTAGACTGTCTGTCTCTAGAGTCTCTGTTTGTAAAGGTGGTGATGAGTCTCTTTGTGCTGATCTTCACTGAACTGCACAGCTAAACTCACATTTATCCTGGATTTGAATGTCACTGATCACATGATTTTTGTAAAGTTAACCAGTTTTGATTTGGAGCTTCAAAGTGAGCTGAATTTTAACACGTGCTCTGGATCTTCAGTATTAAAGGTAACATCAGTTTGTATTGTATAAAAGTGTTTTTGGTTCCATATATGATCAGATCAGCTCGGTCTGGAGAACTAATCTTTGCTAAGCTCCGCCCCCTTGGTTACTGTTGCTACGTCTACAAACTTTCAAACCTGTAGTGTAAACTATGGAGTTCTCAATGGCAGGAGTGGAGTATTTTTGGAACACAACATCTAATATTTTACAAATGAGTCAAAAAAAATCTGTGTATATTGAAGGAATATCCAGCACTGAAGGATAAGATTAAAAAAAATTAGATGAAAAAAATTATAGCTGCTGAGTCTGAGATCCACTTTATTTATTTTAACACACACGCCACACACACACACACAAACATATACACAAACTACTGCTTAACATGTTACACCAGCTTTCACCAGCAGGGGGCGGCTGTTTTCATGTACCTGGTGAAACCACCAGGGAGCTAAGTGGCTAACAATTAGCATGCTTTACTAGCTTCGACCCACAAGGGGTCAGCTGATCTTTTCGCCCCTTACTATTCGAGAACCATTTATTCATATACATTTATTTGAAGACATGATTTCCTTCAGCACAAAATAATAAGATCAAAAAGTTTACACATTGTTTTAAATGAAAGACAATTTAAAAAAAGGTAAAAATGCTAGTTTAAAGAATATAATGTAAAAAGAGACCCAATGAACAAAACAAATGTGACCCTAAACAATGTTTGTTTTTTCCTAGATTTAGATTTTTCTAGATGTTCCTAATATTGTCTGAAACACTATTCCAAAGTTTATAAGCTATTTATAAAAGACAAACAGAAAAACAGATCTAAATAGCAAGAATGACATAAAAACATAATGAGACTGAATAAACTAAAAATAAAAAACTAAGCACTTGATAACTTTATTTACAGAATGTTTTTAAATTGCTTCAAGCACTGAACAGAAATATAAATCAGTGCTGTTCATCTACATGGATGATGTGTTCTTTTATTTGCACACTTGATTTTCTGTGTTAAGCGTCGACTCTGACTGGCTCTGAATCTGCAGACTGAAGCTGATCAGCAGAGTCAACTACACTGTGAATCAGAGCTGTAATCAAAGCAGAACTCATGTAATGTAATCTGTATGACTCATTTGTTTATTTATGACTCTTTCTTTCTTTCCTTTTTGTTTTTAAATGTGTTTTGCTGTTACTTCACCCCTGAAGCCAATTTCTCAAATTGTATTAAACTCTAAAGATTAGTTAAGGTAATTCGAGATGATAACAGAAAAAAGGAAAATAAAAATCAACCTATGTTTTGGATTGGTGGTTGCATTGGTCATAGATTTATATGTGGCTTTATATTTAACAACATATAGATTAAAATTTAAATTTTAGTTTTTAATTCATAGAAATTAAATTAAGGAAATTAAACATTCAGTTTTAGAACTGATCAGTAAAAAGCACTAAAATATACTAAGCCTATTTTTCTCAAGCTTCTTTTTAAATGTGCAGGTTTGGTCTACAGTGAACAGGTCAGCTTTTCTCCAGGATCCAGAGCTCCTGCATCTTCAGCTCTGAAAGTCCAGTCCACTGAGCTCACAGTGAACGTGTTCTGCTGTTTATGTTGCAGGTTTGTGTTTTTGGATCTGGCTGTAGGTCTGAGATGGATCATCAGCTGCTTCAGCCAAAGGAGACCTGTGAACACAAAGAGATGAACTAGATAAATGTCCTAAACTAAATCTCTTCAGAATCAGTGCAGATGTAATGATATGATTTACTCACTGGGGGGCAGCAGTGCGTCTGCTGAAGTTCACAGCAGCGTACTGAATACCCTCTTCTTCTGTGGAGTCTAGAGCAAGTTTAGCAGTGAGGAATGGAGGCTCTTCCTGTGAGTGAAAGGGTCTGAAATAAACACTGGAGAGGTGATTGTCATCCTGATCATCTGATATTTCTCTGCTTGTAGGGTCAGAAGTCATGGCCAGGGCTGAAACAACACCATATACAGTAGCAGAGACACACTGAGAGAGAGAGAGAGAGAGAGAGAGAGAGAGAGAGAGAGAGCACAATATGAAATTAACAAACATTTGATAGTGGTCACTCAGTCTCTCTTTTCTAACATGCTCACCTGTTCACTCTCCTCAGCGCTGCTGTGGCCTTTTTTTCTCCTGAAAAACAAACAACCAGCTCAGAGTTCATACAAACTGAAACTTTAATTCATTTGAAATTTATGTTCTGAAATGTATGACCTTAGCAACATACCACATGCACAGAGCTGCTGTGATGAGTATCAGAAAGACCGCCACTCCCAGGAAGACCACCACTCCCACTGTGATCACTGAGCTGTCTGATGGACCCTCAGAAATAAATCATTAGCCACATCAATTACAGAAAAAAAGAGAAATATTAAAAGAGTGAAGAGAGATTTAAGGTGTCACACTCAGGTGACTCAGAGACTCTGTGTCTGTTTATGCTTACTGACTCTAAATGACTGTCCTTGTAATATTTAAATAAATAGGTATAAGAGTACAGAAAAACAGCCCAGTGCATGTCGTCCCTGTCTGAACAAACCTTGGATCTGTTTTTTCCTTTTTTTTATATAACTTAGAAACGGCAGTTAACCTTTACACTGTCTGTAAATTTCATGATGACAGAAACAGAAGTAATCCAAAATTATGTGTTGAAAAATGTTTTCTTACAATCATGAAATTTTAGTTTTTAGATGCTTAATGACATATAAATAACTGCGATTAACAATTTGTCCTTTTTATTCACTGAATGCAACTACAAGTCCAAATGAGCTGATTAGCTATCTTGCTTCATAGATGTCGATGCTTATTAGCTCCCAACTGATGAAAGACTCAGACTGCCGCAGCTCAGAGTCACTGAATCTCCCTCCACTGTTTCTCCAGAGAGAATGAGCACTGCTCTGGTGTTTCTAGGAGAATCTGACTAGAATTAGATTCAGATGATACATTTTTATTTCAGGGTGACTACAGGTATCACACCCACAAAATATTTTAGTACTGTTTTTTTTCCTGACTCAATAATGTTACTTCTTTCATTTGAACAAAAATCTTAGGTTATACTACTTTAATTAAACTACCACTGAATATACCTGTAAATGACTGAATAGATTATTATTCTAAAACTGCCCACTTACACACTGGAGGAGAGATGAAGCTCTCATGGCCTTCAACAGTGCAGCTGTAGCTGACTGCACCACTGACCGCAGGTACAGCACAGGAGGCAGATTTGCAGTGAATCACAGGCTGTCCGTTCTCGTACCAGATGTAAGTGAGGTTGTTTGGCAGAGTGCAGGTGCTGCTACACTTCAGTTTCTTTCCTCCGCTGTCTGTGTCGGACACTATAACCTTCAGATCTGCAGATTTTAAACAAGATTTTCATTTGCAGTGCTGGAGGGCCGGAGTCCAGAACAGTCCGATGATTTCTCTGCTTAAACACTAAAACAGATGAGTTGAACTAGCGTGTTTCAGCAGCGAATTCATAAACTATACTGGAACGAAATTGAATTCCCTCATCTATAAACATATTATATGTACCTTATTTCAAACTTATGATATGCAGCTCTACCTGTGACAGACAGAGTGACTCCAGGTTGTCCAGTGTATTCACCTCCATCAGTGTAGAATCTGAATCTGTATGTTTGAGCGTCTCTCTCTCTCAGGTGAGTGATTCTCATACTACAGTCATTCTGGAAGCTCTGTCTGTACTGCACTCGTCCCTGATACTCCTCATCCTCTCTCACATCTACAGGCTCAGCACCAGCCTGCTCTTTAATGAACCACACTGATTTAGTCACTGTGTGTCCTCCAGGGTTATAAGAGCAGGAGAGATCAACTGATGATCCTTTCAGAGCACACACACGTTCAGGAGTGTAAGTCACACCCCAACACTCTTTACCCAGAACACCTGCAACACACACACACACACAACACACACACACACACACACACACACACACACACACATACACACACTTACTCAGCAAAAAAGAATTAAAACAATAATTACTGCACTGATATTTACCTGATCATTACAGGAAATGCAAATAAATGCAACATACAGGTAGAACATTTTTTCAATCAAATCCTTTGCTATTTTAAGAAGAAAACATTACTCAAACACACAGATCTATAAATCATGAGGAAATGGTGGTGTGAGTGATCGTTTGCAGACATAGTAGCTAAAGGCGCACCAGCATATGGAGCCTGAGTGATCTGAGGATTAGTTTAACTGATACTTACACACTGAACGAGAGCGGTGAAATCTACCACTGCTGTCAAACAACCCACAGTAGTAGCTGCCCTCATCAGATGACTGGTGGAGTCCAGCACAATGGAGGGACCACCTGTAATTGGCTTGTATTCTCCTTTTCTGTACCAGTCGTAGGTAAGGATTTCATCAAGACTGCAGGTGGAGCTACAGGTCAGTTTCACCTTTCTCTGTCCTGCAGTCTTACGATCCACCTTCACCTGCAACTCTACACACACATCACATCATATACATGAATTCTGTGAATGACATTTTATATGTTTTGGGTGAAAAGACAGAAACTCTGCATCAGTGTGTGTTTATTTACCTGTAACAGTCAGATTAACTCCAGATGAAGCTGATATCCAGTCACTGCTTGATGTTCTAAATCTGAAGTTATAAACTCCAGAGTCTCTCAGTCTCACATCCTTCACTGTCAGATCACAGTCATTCTGCTCTGTTCTTACAGAAACTCGTGCTGCGTATTGAGGATCTTTACTCAGGACTCGTTCTTCTCCATCAGAGTTCTGGAGCTGATACCACTCTCTCTCTCTGACACTATAATGATCAGGTGTTGTAAACTGGCAGGAGATTTTTACTGTAGATCCAGTAACAGCACAGAGACTCTGAGAGGAGAGAGTTACACTGTGCTGAGCCTGAACTCCTGAAACACACACACACACACACACACACACACACACACACACACACACACACACGCATGCACACAAGTTCTGATGTGAGGGGAAACTCTCGTGCTCTAACTGACTGTGTGACCACAGTGTGAAATACTGCTGCTGTTGCTATGAGCAACACAAGGACGTGTGAAGTTGGCTGGTGGTGTTAAAAACCACAGTGGAACTGAACTCAGTTTAAAACTGTTTAAAATAGTCACTGTGGAGCTCTGAACAGTTTAGAATAGCTAGACACTGATAATGAGTATCTCTAGTTTAAATATACAAAACTTTAAAGAAACAGACCTCAGCTTAAAAATAGTTTGAAGTAGTTTAGATGGAGATTTGTACAGTTTATAATGCCGATAGAGAAGATCTCAAAATATAAAATTCATTAACAGATGATAAAATGGAGCAGTTATTAAACACTTGTTACTGTAGCTGTTGTATGTTTATGAAGTTGTTTCCAAATGTATTCAGTTCTGGTCCTGGGGGGTCAGCGTCCAGCTTCCCTGCTCAAATACACCTAACAAACCCGGCAGTTAACTGCTAAAAAACTATGGAGTTAAATATAGTTAAATATTTAAATATCTGGTGTCAGATTCACTTGAAGTTTATAAAATGTTCTGAAACAAAGCCTTTACTTTGTTTTAGAACATTCTGGTTTCCTAGACTTGCTGAAGGGCTTTTCTAACTTGTACATGTTAGTTTATGCAAATAGATATATAAATATGATAAGAATGCACACTGGCAGAGAAGATCTCTATAAAAAGCTTAAACAAACAATAAAATGGTGCAGTTATCAATCACTCACTTCTGCAGCTGCTGTAATGTTTATTTCAAAGATTGTGTGCAAACAATCTAGTCCTGCTTTCAGTTCAGACAAATGAATATAAAAATGTAAAGGTTTACCTGTCAGTAGTATGAGAGTCACTGCTGCTGTGATATTTCCTGATGTTCTGGTAGACATGACAGCTTCACCCTTCCAACACCGCTGATTCTTGCAGTTCAACAAAATAAAGGATGTAGGCAGAATTTGACTCAGGAAGCATCAAAGAATGAAATCTGACTAAAATAAATGACCGAGCAGGTCACTCTTATTAGTAGTGAGTGAGGTGATCACTACTCTGCTCACTCTTCACTCTGCACTTGTAAACTATGATCAAACAAACAAAGACCCGGAAGGTGTGTTTGTGCATTTTGCTTTGTCATCACACCTCCACCTTTTAGCTTACAGTCTCTTCCTTTTGTGTCTTTATTCAAGGCCACAAAATGGAGGGCCGCCCTGCCCACCCAGAGAGAGTGAGGCCGAATCCGCTGTTTTGCCACAGATGACTGCAGCATCGCCGATGTTTCTTTTATCCTCTTTTAACACCTACAGATTAACTTTAATTTAAAGTAAGTGTTAAAGATGGCCTGGGTCATGCTTAGTCCCACATCATCAGTTATACCAGACAGTGTATTTGTCTTTCAGGTCTTTGTTCTTCCAGTTAAAGGCCTTGAGGTCTGGTCAGTCACTATAAGAGGTAATTCAGACTGACCAGTACATGATATCTATGGTTTTACTTCCCCAAGAACCTGAGCTAGATGATGGTAATCATTTTCATTTGTTCATCATGGTTTCCCAGAGTCTTTAATCATGAACATCAGTCAACGGTTTCCCTATCAAACTTTGAAGCTTAGAGACTCTATATGGTATCAGTGCTTTACTGGGTTCTTCTTTAGCAGAACCTTCACTGTTCTCACTGTATATTTTGCTCCCGAGGGAACATTAACCACAAGTCACATGCATAGGTGTTTTTAGCAAAGGCTTCATATTCTACTGTGGAAACTGTGGGTCGATGTCTGGTACTGATGGCAGCAGTGTAAATATGACCTTATAGTCCTCAGCGCAAAACAATAAGATGCAGAAATGCAATTAAACATTCCATTTTGATTTACTTTACACTCTCTTTTTATCTCCCTCCACACAAACATTCTTGTGAGTGAAGTGTCGACTCTTCAGGGTGTGGACTCAGGTAAAGAGGGAAGTAAACAGTGATTTTTAGATATACAGTCGAATAAAAAATTGGATTTATAACAGACAGACATTGTCACTTAAACAGGAATATGGACAGTAACTGATAAGAAAACAGAATTTATCCATCCAATCCATTTTACCTGCATATAAATGAAAAAGATCAAGACAAACTAACAACATATCACTTTAACAACGTAATATTCTCTCATAGTCACTGAACACTGGAATCTGATGGAGCCAGATTAGCTTTAGCTAATAATGCTAACTAGTCCATGTGGCCAGTCATCAAAGTGTCCTTCTGCAGGTCTCACTGTTAACTGCAGTGCTGCTCCATCACACAGATGAATGCAGGTAGAAAGAGAAGGATAAAGAGAGAAATCTGTGCTGAGAGGGTCTGTTAGTGCTTTTTAGACATACAGACAGATTGATTTACCCATCACACTGTTTTATTAGCAGATAATTAGCTAAATTCCAGTCGCTAAGTCAGTCATCTTCCATTCTTTACGAGAAATGTTCTTTACTTGGATCAGGATCATTTATGTCTACACCTGTTCTTCTGTGGTCAGGCTTCCCAAAGGACCACCGCAGATATTTGGGTGGTGGATCATTCTCAGCACTGCAGTAACACTGACATGGTGGTGGTGTGTTAGTGTGTGTTGCGCTGGTACAAGTACATCAGACACAGCAGTGCTGCTGGTGTTTTTAAACACTGTGTCCACTCACTGTCCACTCTTTTAGACACTCCTACTTTGTTGATGCACCTTGTAGATCTAAAGTCAGAGACAGTAGCTCAGCTGTTGCTGCACAGTTTGTGTTGCTCATCCTCTAGTTCTTCATCAGTGGTCACAGGACACTGTGTAGATAAAAGGAGGTTAATGAAGGTGCGGTCAGTGTATATAAAGAAAGGAAAGAAAAAATGTAATTCTCATTACAGAAAAAGGAGAGCAGAATCTCAACAGGTAATAAAATAACTGCACTGTGAGACTCTGTGTGTGTTCAGTGAGATTCTGTGAGCTTCAGCACACTCACTGCTGCCCTCCAGTAACTAAATGATGTTATTACACCTATAGTCATTAATGGTCAGATATGTTTCGAGCAGTTTCTTAAGTCCGATGGAGTTCATCTTGTGTTGTGGAAAACAGTCCTTTGCTGATTGCTGGGACACTATTTCCAGAATAAGGTCGCTGAGCTTTCGAAGATTGTTTTTCTTCTCGGACAGTAATTTGTCACTGAAGTTAATCACAGGAATGTGTATTTCTGCATTTGAAAAAGTACTCAAAATAATTCCATGCTGGGAGTGGCAAAAACCAAAAAATCCATCCGCACCACAAATCATGTGCAAAATAAATCCCAAAACAAAGAAATAAAAATCCTTTAGTGAAATATGGCACATGGTATAAAAATGTGCCAACGCGTTGCGGCCTTCTAAACCTTCATCAGGATACAAAAAAATGGAATTTGAAACACCTGAGAACACCCCTATATATACAAGCTTCTGCTACCTGTTGGTCGGGAAGAAAAGGGGGAAAAAGAAAAGGAGGGGTTTAGAGACAGATTATCTGAACATAAAAATGCATTTGTTACCCAGAACCCTAATTATCCTATGGCCATGCATTATAAGGTGGCTAAACATCTGAGCCACAGCTCGTTGCGAGTGCTGGCTGATGAGGTTATTCCAAAGTCCATTAGAGGAGGTAATGGATTAAGGCAATTACTTCAGAGGGAGACATTTTGGATGTATACTCTTAAAGCTATAGAGTATCCTGGCTTGAGTGAGGATGTTAATTTCTCTCCTTTTCTTTGAACGTTTCCCCCCTTTTTCTTCCTGACCAACAGGTGATAGAAGCTTGTGTATATATATGGGTGTTCTCAGGTGTTTCCTATTGACATGCCATTGTTTTGTGTCCTGATTAAGGCCAACAGGGCCACAACGCATTGGCACATTTTTATACATATCACCATGTTTCAATAAAGGCTTTCTATATTTTCTTAAGACGGTGTGCCCGGGAATTTCTTTGTTTTGGGATTTTTTTTTCACATGCATTGTGGATGCGGATGGATTTTTTGTTTTTTTGCCACTCCCAGCATGGAATTATTTGTATTAAGGGATCCAGTTCAACTGGATAAAGATACACTCAAAGACTGACCCTTACAACCCTTCCTCTATAAACCCAATTTGACCACACAAGAAAAACAGGCCTTAACATCCTTAATTAAGAACAGAAGTACAGTCATAAAACCAGCTGATGAGGAAAATGTTCCAGTAATCATTGATAGGACCCAATATGTAAGAGAGGCAAACAGACAATTAAACAATCCAGAATTTTACAGGAAATTAGACCCATCTATCCCCAGACTTCACAGCACTTTAGAAAATATCTGGATTGGCTACTTTCAGGGGGCTTTACCAATAAAAAGCAAGTCAGTTATATGAGGGGGGACAACACCCCAAGGCCTTGTCAATTTTACTTACACCTCAAAATACATAAAATTAAAGAAACATGGCCAACAGAACATACGCCACCTTGGAGACCAATTGTATTGGATTGTAGTAGTGAAAGCTACAGCTGAATATCTAGATTATCACTTGAACCCTTCATCTACCAAACATCACTGCTACATCAACGATACATATGATTTTGTTGTAAACATTAAAAAAGCCAGACACAAACGCATTTTTATTTTCTACTGACATAAAAGATTATATAAATATAAAACTCATAAGGGTCTAGAGGACGTAATACAAACATTTCACCAAAACCCAGATGTCCACAGACCAAATGAAAGTTACTACAAATAAGTCAGTTTTTCTTACATATTAAGGGGACGACAATGGAGAAAAACTCGCCCCTGCATATGCAAACATATATATGGCAAATTGGGAGGAAACAGCATTCATCAAATGCAAAACCCTCCCAGCCCACTTTTACATATACATATATATATGATATACGGGGAACAAGGCCTCATTCTGAAGAACAAATTATATCCAAGTTTAACACCATGAATCAATTAAAATCACTTTTAATTATCGCTCGATAATGAAAAAATAAACTTTCTAGATACGACAACTTACAAAGGACAATCCTTTAGTCTAACCAACAAATTAGAGTCTTCTTCAAAGGACACACATGCTTCCCTCCACCTCATATACAGGCGTAGGTTCCATCCCAAACATACGTTTAGAGGTATGAATAAGACTTTCAGAAAGCCACACAGGCTCTTTTTAGGGTTTTAAGGACACGGTCCTTATTCCAGGTCATTTTTTCTGTTCAGTATATCGAGGCTCGAATGAATGGAGAAAGTACACAAATTTTCATCTTACACGTCACCCAGAGGATAAATGTGTAATCCTTCTGATTACTAGATTTAAAAACCATCTTTCTTACTAACCAAAGCTCTTAAAAATAAATTCAACCAATTATGTGACAACACTTCTTTAGGAGAAAGGATCAAAATAATTATGGTATACAGTAAAAATATAAATTTAAAGGAACTTTTAGTTTGTAACAAAACATCACCAAAAAGCATTAAAGAATGATCAAAACCACACATAACGCTCTACATTTGTCTGACTGGAAAAAACAGTCACTAGATCTTCTTTTCATGATCATTGATCATGATGATCATCTCAGACCTACAGCCAGATCCAAAACCATAAACCCCCAACATAAACAACACAACACTCACCATGAGCTCAGTGGACTGGACTTTCAGAGCTGAAGATGCAGGAGCTCTGGATCCTGGAGAAAAGCTGAGAGAGATGGACGTTCTGTTCTACATCTGTGGAGCAACAACACAGCATCCAAATCAAGCAGGAAAAGCTGAGGAGACACGTTAAGACACGTTAATACAGCACGTTATTTCAGTCCTTATAGAGAACTGACTGTTTCTCAATGTTGATTTATTATAAATAAATAACACTCTGAACTTATTTAAACCTGCATGAAGAAAAAGCAGCTTTGTTAACTATTTATTTAGCAAAATCTCTTCCACACAATCATTTGTTCATTTATTCTTCTAAATGTGCTTCATGTAAATAATAAATAGCTTTACTAACTGAATGAAGACTTTATTAGTAACTGTTCTGTAGTCTGATATATCAGTAAGTGTAAGTATTCTAATAAAGTCAGGTTAAGTTCTGTTTACTTAACATAAATGAACGACAAACACCAAATAATGACTGAATCTAGTTTGCTAACGTTAGCAAGCAGCTAAAGTATCAAAATGAGCCACTTAGTAAAAAAACTACCGTGGTCAGTTCTCCAGCTCTTCTGCAGCAGATCAATCATGTTCTTTTATCATTTTAATCAGTAATTTAACCAGAATTTCCTTCATTACCTCAGAGCAGTTTTCAGTTCATTAGCAGTGCGCTATCGTTTCTGTGGACATATTTTAAACTTGAAGCTCATGAAACAGAAAAGATGTCACTGAAAAAGTGAAAGAAACACACATTTAAAAAAATCAGTTAATAAAAAGTTGCATTTTTTACTAAAACTCAGCAAACTGTCAAAACGTCAAAGCAAATGTCCACATAAGGTATTCATCAAAGGTGTTTATAGACAAATATACGTAATAAGAAGGAATCTGTCCTGAATAAACACTTTTATTTTAAGCCAGTTTGGGTTCCTGTGGTTTTATTAAATAAACACTGTTTTACTGACCTTCATTTTGTAGACAGAACTGGACTAATCAGTCTTACGTGCTTCATTATCTCGCGTTCAGCCAATAAGGGATGGTTTTGTAAATAGGTGAGTATTTCATTGGTCGCTAGATGGCGCTGTCTCTCTTTGGTGTTTATTGCTGCTGGAACAAAGAACCAAATGCTTTTCTGTGATTTAGTCTCAAACATGATCAGAAAAACGCCTGAACAAAGAAACTACAGCTCATTTCAGTAAAATAAACCCATCAATGTTTTCAGTCTGTTAGCGCTGTTAGTTTAAATGTGTTGTATATGACAGGATGATCCCATACAAATAACTAGAACAACAATATTGATAGAAACGAAGGAATCAGATCAGATCTCACCCCATTCAACTTAACACAGCTTAAATAAGAGCTCAGTGTAGATTTAGTATCTGATAAAGTCTGTTAAGCTCTGTTTACAACATCAACAAACGAAAAACGACAAATAGTGACTGAACCTGGTATCGTTAGCTGGCAGCTATAGCTAAGTATCAAAATAAGCCATTTACTGAAAAACTACAGAGAACTTCCACTGAGGGTCTGTTAGAACAGTTTTACTGCAGAACAAGACATGAACTTCACTTCAGACTGAGAAACTAAATCAGCACTCAAAGTTATCAACACTGTCAAACTGTAAAAGCTGTTAATCTGAAGTGTCTGAGCTCTGAGCTTAAAGTCAACCTCAAATCAAAACTGATGTTTTTACCTTGTTAGTTTGAGTCTCTGATCATATTAATGATGATTCATAATTAGAAACACACAGTTCTTATTTTCTGTCATCTTCCACCAAAATATAATAACTTGCCTCTGAAACGTCTTCTGAGTGTTGGTGATGTCATCAGTGGGCGGGGAAAATAATATTAACCAATCATATCCTGTTTCAGCCCTCCCTCCCCCTCCCATCACGCCCACCTATTATCCAGTGAGTCTCAGCTGGTTCAGAGACCCTCCCTGATCCCGAGTTTCACTCAGAAATATGTTACAGTACTGAAGGAAATGCGTTATGATTTCTGATTGACTTTAAAGTAACAGGAACTGTCTGTGTTCACACTGTCAATCACCTCAACAGCCCTTTAAAATCATTACTTAATTCATTTATAGAACAGAATAATGTAACTGATCAATAAATAATAAACAACATTCACATTCAAATGTTTCTTCTTCTCTGTGATTCGTGTTTAGTTCTAGTTTATTATAATGAAGTGAATCATCAGATTAAACTGATCATAGTTTTCATGAACTGACAGATTCTCACTGTAGTCTTTAGAATCAGTGCATCAGTGAGAGCTGATCTGTTGTTCCTCTTCTAATATTTCACATTTATTTAAGCTCTTTAACATATTTTACTCTTTAATAGATTCTCAGTCCTTCACGTCCATGTATGACGTTATCATGGTTTTAGCGTAGAGACGGTAGTTTTGGCAGAGGACCTCTCTCCGGGCGATGATGTCACAACTGAGACACGCCCACTGATGATGTCACATTGCCCGACATAAAGACCGTCTTTTAACATTCTAATCATTCGATGTGATGAGACTGTGGAGGAACGATTATCTCAGATGATTATTATGAACTGCAAGAACTGACTGCAGAGATGAGGAGAGAAGATTCACAGAAGAAGAACAGCTGGACGACAGCGGTATTTAAAAGAACTTACACTTATTAATCTACTCTTAAATCTAAAGCATGTTCTTTATTGATATTCCGATCAGATCTCAGGTCTATATGACTACAGATCTGTGACGAATGAATGTGGTAGTTAAAAACTGTTCATCTCTAAATAAGTTACAGTAAATGCTGTAAACTGGGTTCCACATAGAGATTAAAGTATAAAGAAAACATTTATAAACAAATATAAAAAGATTTATTCTGATTATTTAATAAAATTAAAATGAAATCTATACAGTAGAGGTTGGCAATATATATCATTATTATGATAAATTACAATATGGTTCTCTGAGAATATTGTGGATCATCAGTGCTTATAGACACTGAACAACTACATATTTCATTACAAAGAGAGCAAAATCAGTCCAGTTTAACTGGATTCAGTGCAGTGCAGAGAAACAGAGAACAAGAATAGTGTGTATATTGCTATATGTGATAGTAATATGTATTAAATGTGGCTCTACTGATTCTTGTTTACCTGCTCAAACATATTATTTTTTGTGCATATTGTGTATCGAGAAATTGTCTTAAAGTATCATGATAACACATCACATCACATATCCTAACTTACCCTGGTGTGTAGACTAACCAGTAGAACATGTGTTCCCTGTTCTTTTTTCCAGGATTCCATTCGGAAGAGCCCCATTATCCCTGATCTCGCCTGTCTGGATAGAATGGAGCGAGAGAGGCAGGAGTATCTGGAGGGTCGTGGTCGTATGTTGAGGGAAATGAACAGCAAATATGAGCAGACCCAGGAGGTCATCCTCAGACGGATCCGCAGCTCAATCCAGGATCGTGATCACCCCTCAACCCATAATGCACTGCACCACCAGTCCACCAGGAGGTTCCACAGGTCAAATGACATCTGTCTGGAGCCCCAGATGAAAAGAGGTGGTTTGGGCCACATTCTGCTGAAACGCTTAAGAGAGAAAAAGGTGTGCAGCAGCCTGGAGAGCCTGTCTGGCTCTGATGTGGACCCACCGTATATGGAGCCTTTTCCACCTTCGGACGAGCCCCGGAAAAGGGAGAGGCCCCACCGCAGGGTTCGGGGCTTGAAGATGGCTGTTGAGCAGGATTGCTCCCCCTTCAGGCCAGAAGACCCCTCCCCAGAGCTCTGCACACCTGAACCTCCAGCTGTTGCGAAACCCAGCAGGTTGCCCAGACCGAGGAATCTGCACATGCTGGCCAAGAAAGGGAACAAGGCCTACTTTGCACCTGGTAAGTTCAAATATTTCAAGAATTTGTCTTAGTTTAGTAGAAAGTACTTAGAAGTAGTTAATATTTAGAGCAGGAGGGAACACATGGTTCATATGCAGCATCCAGCAAAGTTCTGTAAACCTCATATATATAGAATGGATTATATATGTAGAAAGGAAAGATTAAATCATTCACCCAACAGCTAGTGCTACCTCAGCTAACATTTCTACTTGAAGCAAAAATAAAATATTTAATAAGAAATGTAACTAAACTAAAAATCCTGTTTTCATGATTTTTATGAACAGGACTTAGAAGACTTTAAGTACTGTGCCTGTTAACAAACAGATGATATACAAATGTTAATAAACGATGTATAAATAATTGTAGGGAGCAAGATACCCAGATGGAGAGGCCTAGTTAGAGAGAGGAGGAGATCAGAGGAAGCTGAAGTGGAGCCTGCAGAGAACAGCACTGCGCCAAAAGTGGCTCTGTTTCATCAGAGGAGGGAAACTGAAGCCCAGGTGGAGCCTGAAGTCAAAAGAGCTGCTCCAAAGGCTGCTGAACTTGCTGTCAGACAGGCATTTAAACTGCTGCAGGATGAGGAATGGTATGACTTTAGTGAACCAGAGTAGAAACACCAAACTTACAGTGTGCAGACAGAATGAAGATCAGATTCTAATGGAGCAGTGATGTGTTTTAGAATAGTGTTCAGACTAGAGTTATAATGGCTGAGAATAATTTAAATACTGTGGAATATACACACAACAATTGTTGACTGATTCTCCTAATAATTAGAATCTTCAAATGTTTCCACTGAAAATGTCCATTATCCACAGCTAGTTCTGCTCCTGTGTTAAATGTTTAACATACTGGCTGAATCAGTCTTTATCATGTTTACTGTGATGTTCATCTGATTCTAATGTCTTTCTTTTGAAACAGGGAGAGGAAGATAGAGGGGCTGAAACTGGTGCGTGCTCTGGCAGAGCACCACGCTTTAGTCCTGCTACCTGAGCTCCACGATATCTGCCTGAACGTCATCCAGGAGGTGAGACACACACTTCAAACACAAGCTTGTACAAAGCCTCTGTACTGATAACTGAGTGCTCTGTAAAAAGACTCCAAACAGCAGCTTTACATTTTCCATCTGTACTGAAAAGATTTAGTAAACCAACTAAAATCTTGAGAAAGATTTCTTTCTTCATAGAGTTTTCATTTCATTACACACAGTCATAGTCACTCATGTTCTAAGACAAAAGTCAGTGACTGAACTACAGACAGAGACTCACTGTGCTTCTTTTGTGTTCACTGTCTCAGGTGAAGAACCTGCGCTCCATGGTGTCTCGCGCTGCCATGACCACTCTGGCCCACCTGTGTGTCCACCTACAGAGGAAAATGGACAAGGAGGTGGAGAGCACTGCCTGTGTCCTGCTGCACAAGGCCGGGGAGTCAAGCCAGTTCATCAGAGAGGATGTGGAGGTGGCTCTCAGCATGATGGTGCAGAACTGCTCACCTGGCCGGGTCCTGCATGCTCTACTGACTGGTGGATTCAGGTAAACATCACATTACACATTTATAATTAGGATTAAACTGTAAACTAAAATAGAAAAAGACAATTTTAGTAAAAATGACATGCAGTCAGTGTTACAGCAGACAGTTGTCAGGCAGCCGTACAAATGGGAACTAAACTACTAGCTTTTTTAATCAATATATAGTACATTAAATTTGTGTTACCTAAAGTTTTCCAAAGCACCACTAAAACTGTTTTCTCAGCTGCACTGATGCATCACTGAGACTATTCATACTCTGATTTTCATTAATTCATTAATAACATCTTCATAAAATGTGAGTCTAGATTTCTCCTGTATGTAAACTCTGGCTGTGTCTCTCACTGTGTGTTCACTCTTCACTCTCCAGCCACCGAAACGCCGCTGTGAGAAGCTGCACTGCGCAGCATCTGGAGAAGCTTGCGTGTTTGCTGGGAGCTTCACGCCTGCTGAACGGCAAAAAGGACTTCACCTGCAGGTTCCTGACCGCCATCAGCAAACTGGCCCTAGACTCTGCACAGGAAGTGAGGTATGTAGCTCTCCTGATTTTTACGCCCCCCGGGTCAGTACTGTCCCCCATGAACATGTTTCATTATCCACCAGCACTGAAAACCATTTCATCATTCTTTCTCCACAGACTCCATGCACGTAATACTCTGAGATTTCTGGGCAGCCATAAAGACTGTATGAAGATGGTGGAGAAATTTGTGCCACCAAGAGACAAAACATCTATTAAAGACATCATCACAAAGAGCAGGTAAGAACAAGAACAAGGAAGTGACGCATAAAGAAATGAGCAGAACAGTCTATGATGTTTATATGAAGTTAAACTGTTATTAATGAGATTGTGTCTCCTTTTAACTGTACAGATAAAAATCTCCAGAGACTCCAGAAATGACCTCACACTGGAAGAAAGGCGGCGAATTCCAGCAATACAGCAAAATAAAAACAATAAAGAAAATAACTGAATAAGTCAGTGTGTTTCTTGTAAATAGAAATTAGTAGAAAGTAGTGCTGGCTGAGCAGTGATAGCTTTACAGTTCACTCCTCCTAAAACAACCAAAACACACGATCTCTGTCTGGATTGATCAGGTCTAAGAAGTTCATCCAACCTACATGATTAACAGTTCAGTGAAAAAATGTACACAGTTTCCTTCAGAGGGTGACGTAAAGCAGTTCTCTCTCCTCTCTCTTAGAGAAGCTGCAGGTCTCAAATACACAGACTGTAGGTTTGTACAGTCTCGGGCAGAAAGAGTGTGATTTTGCTCTGTAGCTGCTTCTTTCTCTCTCTCTTCTTGTCTGTGTTTAGCAACATTATTTCTATTAAACTCAGATTTACAAGGAAACTCGAGGGCTTATGAGAAAAAATACATTGCAGTTTTTATCTTTGAACTGCCAAAATCTTCTCACCTGAATGACCATCAGTTGTGACCCCATTCTCATCTTCCCAAACTCTTCATATGTTGAAGCTGGAGCAGAAAACCCCTCAGCATTAGAATACAGACAACTGATTCTTTTTTAAAGTGAACGTGAAAGGTTAGATTATGTGAGTTAATTTTTCAATAAATAACTTTATTTATTGATTTCCTTCATTTTCATGTCAGAGTTTTAGTCTACAGTCAATAGGCAGAGACAGATCTTACCTGATGAACGTTCAAGCGAAATAAGTAAAGCTCCGTCTCTCAACACCTGTATATATACTGTTACAGCCTCCCAAGATGCACTGCTGCTGCACCACGTGCTCAGAATGCATTTTTAGAAATGCTATTTTTCTTACTTATTTATTTTACTGTGGATTTTTATTTTAATATCAAGTAGTTTTTGCTGCTCAAAAACAGAACAGAAATCTGTCACATACTAAATTTTTATGAGACTAAATTTATTTGCGTAAATGCATATTTTTTTTTCACAAAAAAATAAAAATTCCAATAAGTTGGATTTTTACAGAAAATTGCCTTTGCAAAAAAAAAAAGTCATTGGGTTCCCTCGCAAAAGTTTTGTGTTCTCATGCAGAATCTGCTGCATTTTACAAGGAACACAAAACATTTTCGAGAGAATTTCATAAATGTATTTGCCAGTGACGCAAAATTATTGCCAGAAAATGCAGTCATTTTTAACCACACCCCCTTAGAGGCTCCGTAGGTTTTCACATTTCAGGTACATATAATCAATTTTTCTGCTGAAGTTGAACAGAAAAAGTATTTCTGACAGTTTCCGTTTCCACAGCTCATCCTCAAACTTTTAGAAGTTAAAACACTTTTATTAAAGTCCTTTGGTTGAAGCAGCTGCTGTTTCCATCAGTTACTGATCTGCACAGATTCCTGAAGATGATGTGACCCAGTTGAGCCGTACAGTGAGAGAGGAGACCCGATCTCACCGCTTCTTCACCATCTAACCGTTCTTCTCTCTCAGTAGAGCAGGTTTACAGTCCTCTGTCAGCTGAACAGACTGCAGCTCTAAATGTAATTTTGTATTATTAATTTTAACAATTAATGGTTTTATTTTCACAGTTTGCATTATATATGCTTACATAATAATCTATTTTTTTTTAAATATAGTCAAATACTATTTACTTCATTTCATATTTTAACATTTATTTTATATAAAAAATAGAATGAATCTATTAAACTCTCACTTTAGACCTCATTAAGTCAAATCAACATAGAAATAAACAGATATTTATAGGCGTTGCTAGGCAGATTTTATGGGGGGCTTTAGCTCCCTCTAAATGCTATGATTGGTCCAAATCATCTTTAGTTTATTCTCATTCACAATATACTGTAATAGCAGGGGGCGACCTGAGGGAGGCGCTGCTGCTGCTCTAATGCAGCGCTGCCTCTGCTTCACTACCAGAGATTGACTAACGCAGAGCCGTATAGAGAGAGAGCCGCGTCAACGGAAGTTCAAAACGCTTGATGGTCACGTGATTCACGTAGACTTCAGATAGTTCCAGGAAGTTCTTTGCGGGCAATTTAAACCCATAAACACTCAGCGACAAACTGCGTCTTTTGGTACTTTAAAGTCAATAAATGCACTGATTTACAATATTTATAAAGAAAACCAACGTGTGTGTGTAGCTACAACAATATGATGCATTTAAAAGTCAAATTGGCTATTAGAGGATTAAACAGCTGTCGTTACCTGCCTTTCTGACATGTTGGGTTAAAGTGAACATGGTTTCAAAGTGTGTTTTCGTTGTTTCATTGCTTTGACTTTTCAGTATTATAGATATTATGTTCTTAAACTTGTATGGTAGTTAAGATCAGTCATATCCTAATGTTTATTGATATACTGAGAGGGAGGGGAAGGGATGTTTCAAAATTGAGATCAGATTAATTTTCAACATAAATAAATATAATTAACATAAATACATCTTTAATTAATGGTTGTTTCAGTAATCCCAAGGCCTAGATCATTTTAATGACTTGATGACTACTGTAAACTCTATGACTTTCCGAAAGGACAGAAGGAACCAAAGAAATTTGTTTGGCTTGCATATGAAAAAATCTGTATTAAAAAGCGTACATTAAAATACATCACATCCAGACAGGACATAATAAACACATCTATTTATATTTGTTTGTACACATATAAACATATTTATATATCTTGTCTTTTTACTCTGCACATATTTACTG